AAAAAGGCTATTTTTACCTGCTTGAAAGAGAGGATTTGGAAAAAGGTGAATGGGTGGAAAAAGAGATTGATGTCGAGACCGGGTAAGGAAGTTCTCATTAAGGCCGTGGCTCAAGCTATTCCAACATACATGATGAGCATCTTCAAAATTCCGGATGGATTAATTGAAGAAATCCACTCTTTTGTGTAAATTTTGGTGGGGGTCGAGGGAAGATGTGAAGAAGATGCACTGGAAAAATTGGAAAAAGCTTTGTTTACCGAAGGCTAAAGGGGGTATGAACTTTAGAGATTTGAAGTGTTTCAACCAAGCTCTCCTAGCTAAGCAACTTTGGCGGCTATACACTAACGAGTCAACTTTGCTCCATAAGATTTTGAAGGCGAAATACTTTAAGAACTCGTCAATTTTTGAAGCAAATAGGGGTTTTGATCCTAGTTTCTCTTGGCGGAGTATGTGGGGAGCGAAGGGTTTGTTGAGAGACGGGTTGGTATGGAGAGTGGGAAATGGTTCAGATATTGATATATGGGCTGACTCGTGGCTGCTAGTTGATGGTAAACCTTGCAAAATCCCTCAATTGGTGGATGGGGGTGGTAGTAGGAAGGTGTGTGATTTGATGTATGATGATAGAAGTGGGTGGGATGTTGCTAAGATAGAGAATATGGTGGGTTTTGGGATGGTGTAATGCAATTCTCGCTACTCCCCTGCCAACGAATTTGTGTGCAGATAGGAGGTATTGGGGGGGACAAAATCTGGAATTTATGCCGTTTGTTCGGGCTATTGGCTGGCGAAAATGGGCAGTGTGGAGGGGCAACATGATAATATTGGTGAAGATGTCTGGAGCTATGTTTGGAAGATCCGTGGTCCTCCAAAACTCCAACACTTTATTTGGAGCGCCGTGAAGGGGAATTTGGCTGTCAAAGCCAGGCTCCATTACCGCCACATTGTGAACGAGAGCTCGTGCCAGATTTGTGGGGCTATAGAGGAGACAATCATACATACACTCTTTGAATGTGTGGCTGCAAAAGAGATATGGGAACATAGTGATCTAAAGGCGAATTTGGTGGATGCACCAAATGACTCCTTTGTGGCTCGATGGGAGTGGCTTATGCGCAAATACACACCTGAGGTGCTTTGCTCGATGGCTGTGCTGATGTGGGCTTCGTGGAGATGCAGGAATCTTCTAATTTTTGGAGACGAGAGACCCAATTTCGTGATGCTGGCAGCGGGGTTCTGCAAATTGGTGCAGGACTATAACTCCTACGCAAGTAAGGTTATAGTGCGGGCTATTGGTCCAGCTAGCATTACTAGCTGTGATAGGTGGCTGCCTCCTTCCCCTGGGTGTGTTAAATTTAACACGGATGCTTATGTTCCTAGTTCGGGGAGTGCAGGACTTGGTGTGGTGGGGCGTAATGCCGAGGGTGTTCTCGTGTGTGCTGCAACGAAGAGAGTATATGGCTCACAACCGGAATACATAGAAGCGATGGTTGTTTTATATGCTTTGAGATTGGCGAGGAGATTGGGTTACAAGTCCATTTGGATCGAATGTGACGCGGTAAATGTGGTCAAGCAGGTGAATGCAAATAGCGGAGGTCTTACCCCTTTATTTGTTATCTATGATGATATTAGGATTGATAGAGCTTGGTTTGATAGTTGTGTCATTACTCATGTTAAACGTTCTTGTAATACCGTTGCCCATCTAGTTGCGAGGTGGGATACGGTAAATCACTCCGAGTATGTACGACTTGACTCTTTCCCCCAAAGTATTATGACTTTGGTGGGATTAGATGCTTCTTAATAAATTTGCTCTATCGATTTCTTTCAAAGAAAAAAAAATATTTTCAAAGCTATATTAAATAGGATAGCTTAAAAAAGAAAAAAAATATATGACATCATCTTTGCATTTTGGAGGGGAAAAATTAAATAAAAAAGTGACACATAGGCAGTGATGAAATCAACGATCTATAATACTTAATATAAAAAAATTGAGGCTGCCTAATTTGATTGTAGTAACCTTGAAATATTCTTTATTGAGACTCATAATACTTAATTGGGACTGTTTTCATTAATTATAATAACCTTCAAATATTCTTTATTGGGACTTTATAATACATATGATAATGAAATCTTTAGAATAACTAATATACAGCACGGTGCTAAGCTTGATTGCTAGGTGGAGGATGAAATAAGTGGCATTGTGATGTATAATTAAAGCCTAAGATTAATTCAATTAAACAAAAATTAGTATTCTATTCACCCGATTTTCACTGATTAGTACTTATCTTAACTTATCTGAACTTACCTAAACTTATTTTAAGTTAGTAGACCTTATTAAAACTTAACTTAGTTGTAATTTAATTTGTGCTTGGTTAACCCTTATCAAAACTTATTAAACCTGAACTGAACTTATATGATGAACTTATTACACTTGAAATAAGTGAAAATAAGGTGAATAGAATTGACCCTTAATGAGGCTCCCTAATTTGATTGCAATAATCTTTATATATAATCTATCAGGACTTTATAATACTTTATTAGGAATGCCTAATTTGACTATTACAACTTTCAAATATTCTTGATTGAGACTACATAATATTTAATAGGAATACCTAATTTGATTGAACCTTTATTATTCTTAATTGCCTATAACTATGTGCCGGTCAAATTGTAACACTTAAAAAAACACGGAGGGAGTACATAATACTTTTTTTTTTTTTTAGGAAAAGGGAGTACATAATACTTAGGGTGTGTTCTATTCACCTAATTTTCTCTTATTAGAACTTATCTGAACTTACTTGGACTTATTCGAACTTAGTAGATCTTATTACTCCGTAAAACTCATTTTAGTTGTAATTTATACTTCGGTAACCCTTATCGATCATAACTTATTAAGCCTGAACTGAACTTATTTGAACTTATATATAATACCTAAAATAAGTTAAAATAAGGTGAAATAGACCCTTAGAGTGTGTTCTATTAATCAAATATTCACTAATTTAAACTTGTCTTAACAAATCTGAACTTATTAGACCTGATTAAAACTTAATTTAGTTGTAGTTTAATTTGTACTTGGTCAACCCTTATCAGAACTTATTAAACATTAACTGATCGAACTTATTTGATGTGCTTAATCTTTTTTAATGGGTGTATTCAATTCACCTTATTTTCACTTATTTCATGAGTAATAAGTTTAGATAAGTTCAGTTCAGGTTTAAAATATGCTATAAGGGTTAGCCAAGTACAAATTACAACTGAATAAGTTTTAATAAAGTCTAATAAGTTCATAAGTTCAGATAAGTGAAAATCAGGTAAATCGAACACATCCTATATATTTAAATCGAATACTATCCCCACCTTCTTAATTTTAGAATAATGTTTGCAAGATTGAATTATTTGCATTTGAGCATATTGTATCATTTTGTAATCAAATAGTAGGCAATATGGCTATATTTTAATTTAGAATTTAATTTAAATACGAGTAGAGGATTATTGTTCATTTGACATTACACAATAAATTACTGAGTAATATTTATGATATTTTATCTCAAGTAAAAAAAATAATTTGTTTTTTGTAAAAAAAATATAGTTTTTTTTTTTTGAAAGAAAGTTTTGTTTTAAAGAAGTAAATTAATTTGGTTTTCGAAAAAAAAAAAAGTAAATTAATTTTATTTTACGAAAGAACATATGTAGCAGTTTCCTTGAATCATGGATTCATGATTATATTTTTATCAAAATCCATCCTGAATTATCTCAAAAAAAAGGAAAAAAAAATCAAGTGGTTAAAAGAAACAAAAATAAAGTCCTTTACAAAAAAAAAAATTAAAATTAAAAAATGAAACGTGTTAGTTTTCAATTTTTCCTAAAATCATGTTTTTTTTTTTTTTTTTTTTTTTTTTTTTACTAATTCTAAATATATCTTCACATTTAAATTTACAGTATTAATTTTTGCCAAATTTTTGTTTTTTTTTAATTTATTTTTTTTGAATAGAAAATTTTTGGAGGAAGAATATTACCAATTTGATTAAGTAAATAAAATATCATGATCTTATTTAAGGCAAAGATAGTGGAGAATTAGTCAATTAGAGACCTCCAATTTTTTTTTTTGGATTTATTCATTTTTTTTTTCCAAAAATAAAATTAATGGGCAAAAATTTTTATTGCTTTTTTGTTTTTTTATTTAGAAAAAAGGAAATAACTGCGGATTATATTTACGTGATAGTTAATGACTTACATTCATCAATGAAGGATTAGACTTAAAACATATAATTGATGTCATATTGCAATTTATATTGACTAAAAAAACATAGACATTAATGTGATGATTATAATTTAATTTTCTAATTCACATAATTGATGATGATGATAAAGTTTGAAATAATTACAGGTTAAGGTTGACAATGGAGGTTTTTTTTTTTTTTTTTTTTTTTTTTTATTATTATTTTTTTTAATAAGAACCATTGATGAAAAGGTTGAGTTGAACATAATTGAAACTAACTTGAGTTGAACACAATGGAAACTAACGCTAATTACATGCATATGAATATTTATTCCTTAATAATTTAACCAAACAACACTTTAATGAATTTTTTATTTTTAGATTTTGGAGGATGAATGTTTTTGTTGTTGAAGATGAAGGTTTGATGAAGATGACAAAGGTTGAATATGATATTCATATTCATACAAATTACAAAGGTTAATAATGTGAAAGATGATTTAGGTTGAAGATGGAACGTTTAAAATTTGTTAAATTTTTTTTAATAAAAAAATATTCATGCTCAAAAAAAAAAAATATTAAACAAACAATCCCTTGATGACTGTGTAGCTTAGGTGTTGAATTGGGTGGCTAGGATTAAACAACTAATATATCAAAGGTTCAAATTTAATCTTTAAGTGTAGTCGTCCGTAGTTTTCCGTAGTGGACCACTACGCTATAATTTTATCATAACATATCCTAAAAAGAATGATGAATGCACACTAAATAAAATGTAAGAGGTAGAAAAACATACCTGAGTAAGTGGCGTATCGTGCGATCACATGAAGAACAGTCTCATCAAAACCATTCACATCCGTAATGTCATAATTTTTTAACGCAGATATATGACCCGCAGTCCAAGATCCATGCATAATAATCGCCCAAATTGATGATGTATCATTGTCATCGATTTGCAGCATCGCCCAAAATAAAGAGATAATGTTAGTATTACCAACCCGTGCTGCTTCATGAAGGATTGTATCCCCTCTTGTTGAATTTCTCACCATCCACGGTGGGCTTTTATCATCCCAAACAGTCCATATACGAATACACAACTTAAAGAAATTCAATGCATGATCAGAAGGTTGAAGCCTGGCAGCAATATGTAAAGGTGTATCCCCTTTTGAGTCCTCCTTATATATTAAGGGAAAGGTCCCAGTTTTGAAAGCACTCTCAATGAAGGAAAATTGATGATGTCGAAGGGCTATATGAATGATATTACTTCCATCTGGGGTTTGGGCTGTTTTCTTTTCATACGGTGAATTATGTATCCCCATTTGTAGCTGCCTCATAAAGCATGTCATCCAATGTAGTTTCTACACTCAGTAATTGATTCATGAGTTTCTTCTGCAAAACGAATAATGCATGCGATAATTAACATTAGGAATTGATAAAACTTATATACTGTTTATGGTAATTAGTGACAATAAATTGATGAGATGGATTACTAGGATTTGAGGAATGTCTGATCCATTTGAAATCATGTACCATACTGACTTTCCATCATTGTTCTTCAGGTGTACAAATAACTCCTTCATCTTTAAGCTTGATTTTGCGTTGATGAAATGTTTGATGAAACATTGTACAACCTCAAAATTACGATTCAAGATGCCAACATGTAATGGTGTGTTTCCGTCAATATCTTGTGATGACATTAGGTCACTCATAACAATGGAATCATCTCCCAGTTTTTTTAAGAGCGATTCTAACTCACCAATCACTCATACGTATTGATGTAGGAAAAAAATTGTAAATCCAAAAAGCGACTAAGGTTTGGCCAGAGTGTGCTGCTCTTAAAATTGGGGCGAAGCCATCTACGTCGCGCATATATGCAGCAAACCCACTTTTATAGATGATTTCATTCCCATGCACTACCTTCAACATGCAACAACATAATCAGGAAGCAAGCATATAATTCCTCCATTCGTAAATACATATTTTTTTTTTTTTGCTAATCGAAAAATCAACAAGAATGGATATTTTATAGACTAAAATAAATTCCTTTACTGCTAAATTCACATAGTATTGTCAATGCACAATTGGACATAATTTTTTACTTTTTTATATTAGCAGATTTGTAATGAAATAACTCAAAGAGACCAGCCATTAATTAGTACAATTAGGTCTCCTTTCTTACTCACTAAATGACAAGTTTAAGGGCGTGTTCGGCGCTAGCTTTTGATTAGCTTTTAGGTAGCTTTTAGTGGTTTGACGACCATGTCAAACCACTACTCAACAAAAAATGTGAGTGTTTGGCAAAGTTATGGTTCAAGTAGCTTTTAGTGGTGGAGGTAGCTTTTATTAAAAGCTAGGATTATTAGCTTTTGAAGTTAGAGGTAGCTTTTGAAGTAGCTTTTGAAAATTTAATGTATAGCTTTAAAAATAAAATATTGATTCTTAAATGTAACAGCTAGTCAACCACTACTTTACCGAACAATCATACCTAAATTATCTTTTTTCACTGCTAACAGCTTGTTGACAGCTAATAGCTATTTCCACAGCTCACAACTATCTCTAAAGCTACAGCTACCTTCACAGCTACATTTTGCCGAACATACCAAAGCCAAAATTTAGGAGACAGACTAGACTTCATATTTTACAAGTCTCTTTACTTCTTTCTATAAAAAACCTTCGTTGACTCCTTATAACTGCTAATGTTATTAGCGATATGATTTTAATATAAAGCTGCTAATGACTTTTCAAACCAAAATAAAATAAAACTCTTTATAATCGGTCCTATGTGGACAATATTTTTTGGAGAAAAGACCCTTTATATTTGATCCTATATGTAACGATATTTTGGGAATTTGTTTTATAATCGATGCAAAATGGAAATTAATTTTTGTTTCGACAATATTAAGGATTATCATTCAAGCATTACTGATAGATATTATACGCCAATTTTACAATATCTACAACTTTGTATTCATCATACAAAATCGTTCATGACCTTTGATTTGTAAATGACAATCACAGCCGTCCAATTTGTTGACCATCATTTTTTATTTTTTTTTGAGAAAACGTATTAGGTGTCTTATATTAATAATTTATCCATCAAAACATAAGGAAAAACCTCACAAGTACTATGGTTCTCCCATACTTACTTAACTCCATAAGGCGTCAAAACGGTTAAATCGCTAATTAAATTATATGCAACGGTATTGCCATCCTGTTTAACATGGCACCATAAAACAGAATATCATGAGCGATTTTAAGCTGTTGACCATCTTAGTTCCAACAAAATAATGAAATAAAAATAAAAATAAAAAATTTTCCGATGAATATCGTTTCAAAAAAATTAGATTGTTGAATGAAGACATTATAAATTTCAAACTAGTTTTTATCCCGTGTAATACACGAATGAAATGAATTTTTAATTATGTAAGTATAAACTCGTATTATATTATTAATATATTAAATATTTATTCTAAAATATGAATAATTTAAATTCATATATAATATCTTGTTCATTTAAAAAAGAAAAGTGATGTAAATCATCAATAAATAATACGGAGTACTAAAACGAATAACAAGAATGACATGTGTCAATTACTGGTGCTGTTTTTTTTTCCCTCCATAATTCCCACTTTTTTTTTTCAATACCATCTACTACTTACTATAAAATTTGCACAAATTATTTAACATAGTATATAATTGTAATAATTTTGATTCATATATTTTCCATATATCTTATTTTGTCCATTTTAAAAATTTAAATTAGAGATGACAATTGTATCGTGTTGTGTTCCTATTCAAAATTAAACGGGTTGGGAAGCCTCAACACTAACCCGACCCATATTATGACTGTGACGTGTCGTGGCGACCTATTTAATTAAACTTGTTGAAAATTTTTGGCACAAACCTACTTTTTTCGTGTCCAGTTCGTGTCATGTTGTCGAGTTATGTTGTTACTTCAATCATACACGTGACGTGTTGTGTTCCTATTCGAACTTAAATGGGTTGGAAAGCCTCAATACTAACCCGACCCATATTTATCACAACTTTTTTTTTTTAAGAAAACTACCAACCTGAATTTTAAATAATAATAAAAAAAAAACCTATCATCCTATTCAAATAAATTAAAACAACTCCATAACTCCATATATATATATATAAAATGATTGTAAAAGGGAAATCAATTAAAGATGAAATGACATGAAGGTAAGAAGCAATCAAGCAAATACTATTTTTTTCAAAGACAAGAAAAAAAGAAAAAAAAGGAATATTTATATGGTGACAAGTGGCAGTTTGTATGACCTGTAAACTTTCATGTTATTAAATATTAGTATATACTAGGTTGGAATCCGTGCGATGCACGGTTTATATAAAACCTATTTTTAATTTATACATTTTAAAAATAAATCGTTATACATGAATATAAATAAGAATTATGTATATTTTTAAATTTTTAAATTTTTTATTTTCATCAAAATTATGATATATTATATATTCAACGTTGTCTAATTCATAATTCAATGTAGAAGTTCATTTATTCGTGTACTATTTAAAACTGTTTCAATTTCCTACGATAAATTGATATTTTTTAGTTGTAATGAAGAAGCTTCCAATATTTAAATTTCAAAAATGTTAAATATAATAGCTCTAAAAAAATGTTAAATATAATACTTCACCAATTGTGATGTGAGAATCGTGTAAAAAAAAATGAAAAAATTTATTGAATCGAGATATTTTTCTTTTGTAATATTTCACTCTCCATTTGGTATCATGTAGTTTAGTTTGTTTCACTAAAAAACCTTTGGCTCCTCAACTAACCAAAGCAATGGATTGAAGATAGAGTTCTCAACAGCTGAGCTGACCTGACCTGAAATACCGACTCTAACCCGACCTATTAACCGACCTGTCTGAACTTGAAAAAAATGGTGACCTGAACCCGACCTAAAACCAACCCTAGACCCGAGTCGACCCGAGTATTTGAGATTCGAACTCGAACATTAACCGACCTAGAGACGGCCCGAATGTAACCTGTAAATTATTGACCTGAACTGAACCCGACCTGAACCGAAATTAACCCAAACCCGTTTTAACCCGTCAAAACCCGAATTCAACCCGACCCGAATTCAACCCGACCTGTTTCTAACCCGAACCGAATTTAACCCAACCTGCTACAAACCCGACTCGAATTTCAACCCGACATGTTACAAACCCGACCCAAATCAACCCGACTTGTTATTGACCCGACCTAAATTCAACCCGACTTGTTATTGAATCAATATGTATAAGTCGTTATCTCATGTTGGTATTGGAACGTAAATTGAATCCTAACTCTATTCCTTCAATATTTCACTTTGAATTTTAAGAGGTTAGTTTCACAACATGTTTTTAGGGACGAATTTCAGGGAGGAAACATGTTTTCCGCAAATTATTGACTTGAACCGAACCCGACTTGAACTCGAGAATAACCCGACATCTGAAATGACCCGACTTGATTATAACCCGCAAATTATTGACTTGAACCAAACCCGACTTGAACCGGAGAATGACCCGACCTAATAATAACCCGTAACTAATTGACTTGAATCAAACCCGACTCAAACTAACCTAAGAACGACCTAACTCGTTTAAACTCGTAAAGACCTGAATTTAACCCGACCTATTTTTAACCTGAACCGAATAACCCGACCTTTTACTAACCCAAACCCGATAAGATGTATGACCCGACGTGACCCGACTCAAGCATGACCAAACCTGAACCCGACCCGCATATGTAATGACATTAACCCGTATTGACCCGACCTGAGATGACTCGACTCACACTAACCCGACCCGTTTACCCGAATTGACTGCTCTAATTAAAGACGAAGTAACTAAAGATACATGGATTCAATAAAAATAAAAAGATAATGAAAGTATCATGACATATCGTACGTGAAAAGCGCTAATCAATTCCACTATCTTTCTATGATGATATTTATTCCGTTTTAAAATTTTGATTTAACGGTTCATACAATGGAATAAAAAGATAAACTGTCAAAACAAATAGAGGGATATGATTACATCTAGAAAATCAAGGGTTAGGATTAAATCTAATACACTGTCTACCAAATTATTATACTACCGGCGTGTTCATATTTACTTAACTGAGGTGAACTGAACTGAGCTGAAATTAAATTAAATTAAAGTGTACAGGTCCTATTTCCAGTTTCTTGTTACTTACAACAATTTCCTAAAATGGATGGTTCACATTACTTGCACCTTTTTTTTCTTTCCACTTTTAGTAAGTTTTTGGGTGGAATTTGACTAAAATCCCCCCATTTTTTTTTTTGGATTTTTAGATTTTAACACCACAAAAACGAAAAAAATGATTTTTAACACTACAAAAAAAAAAAAAAAAATTTAACACCAAAATTTTTTATATAAAATTTGATTTTACCACCACTTAACATTTACTGTCCAAAAATCTGTTAAGTGAGATCCATTGTGCCACATGTCATCGTATTATTGGTTTAAAAAAAGGAAAAAAAAATCAAAACCCTAAAATAACCCAGCCAACCCCATCCCTACCGCCGGCCACTACCCCACACAAACACTCCCGTTCCCAGCCCCAGTCGCCGCAAACTCCATCCCCTACCTTTCCCCCTCCATTTCCGCCGCATCAAATTTTCCTTATATATATATACTAGTTTTGGATGGTTGATAATTAAAGTTTAGGATTATTAAATTATATTTTTAGTGATTCTCTATTATTTTTGTAAATAAATTAAATATATTATAAATTGATCTTATTTGGAAAATTAGTCTTACAACCACGTATTAATGTAGTTTTGAAAAATATTGCTGATTAAAAATCTTGTAAATTACTAGTGTAAAAAAATTTAAAATTTTAATTTGACTACAAAACTCCACTTTAGACCATTAATAACATTATATATCCCCTTAATCCACGTTTAATCCTTGATTAACCATTTAAAAGACCCAAATAAATAAATAAATAAAATAAAATTTATGGTGGAAATAGTATCGATTTATAAGATATTTATTCAAAGTTACGAATAAGTTTGTATATATGAAATATTAGAAGTATATCGATAATAAAACTCTATACGACATTTTTATATTTAAAATTCTATTCAAACGTCTTACATAGCATCATATGTGTCACGATAATACCTATTTGGTGTCGCCTACTTAGCTTCACACTTGGCGTAAAATTAAAATGTCATGCGTCGCTGTCTCGTTGCATTGGTGCAAGACTGACTTTATTTATCAGTGATATAATATATTAGATTAGATTTTAAGTATGAAACACCTTCCCGAAATCAAAATATAGGGGGAGGTTCTGGTGTCCACCTAAAAAGACCTTAATACCCTCCTTGCCTTATACTACACAAACAAATTAATGTGCCCCATCATCTTCTATTACAAATTATACACAATCTAAATCAAATAATTCTAAATTTTTAAATTTTTAACCAATGATTTTAATTAATGGATTAATTTTCAATTAATTATATCAAAATTTCCTTAATAACTATTAGATTATATTTTTCATATATCAATTTTCTCATTTCTAGTACAATCAATAATTACTTAATCAACTCAAAACAAAATTAAATTTTACTTTAGTAAGAGAACAGATACTCACCGAGTCACCGTTAAAACGATTGCAGTATTTTGCAAGCAAATGAAGAACAGTCTCACCGCTCTCGTTTATGTCTAACAGTGCTTCTTGGAGATCAGGATCAGTCTCAGTCTCCCAATGTAATAACTCATAGTTACTGGAGCGTACGGCTTCATGGAATATTGTATTGCCTCTGGAATTTTTCACCCTCCACGGCGGTATGCTTAGAGATTGCCTATTCTTATCAATCCAATGCTTTAGAGATTTCTTCACCACTTCCCTTGCTACATCCGATGGTACCCTGGCACCAATGTGCAGTGGAGTATCACCATTTGAGTCTTTCTGGTATATCATATTTGGATATCTGCTTAGTGCTCTCTCGAAGTACTCTGCTTTCCCATGATGTAAGGCGATATAAATGACATTGCTTCCATTTCCTTCAGAAATCAAATCATTTATATATTTGTCTCCATTATGTTGTAAAACAAACCCGTACTGGTCATTATTGGTGATCCTTCCCGTATTGAGCCTATCCATCATATTTTTCTACAAAGCATAAAGTACAAGTTAGTTTAAGTTTTGTTACTGCTAGAATACGAATGCAATTATAAAAGATACTAATCTTCATTTTCGCAATTCACTAATTGCACATGCAATAAAGTAACACAAATTATTCAATGCTCCACTTACCAATTATAATTGCAAAAAGACTTGCGTGGACCTAGTCCATAATAATGTTATTGTAGACCCGAGGTCTATTCACACGCAACTGACTTTATATTGAACATAGTGACCATTATTTTTAACATAGTAACCTTATTTTTAACCTAGTAACCTTTATTAAAACTACTACAACGTTTAATAATATTGTCAACTTGAAATACGACGCTATTACCCTAATTTTAATATAGTGACCTTTATTACTCATATTGATCAGTATATAAAATATTTCATTACAAAAATAACCATTTAGGCCTATATAATACCAAAATGATTTTTATTTCAATATAGTGACCTTTTTTTTAATTATAGTGACCCTTTTTTTTATTAATAAAACAACCATACTTTCTCTAATGTTAGTGGTCCACAATAAACTAGTGTGAACCAGGTCCATTTAAGAATTTGTATTATAATTGTCCAAATTGATTAAATTTAAATTTGGAGACTAGACTTTGTTTGATTCATCTAATTTTATACTTGTTCAAATAAGATTAGACAAAGTCAAAATCTCGTGTACAACGGGTGTACATTAATTTTATTGTAAAACGGTCAGTTTGGACATAACTTTAAGTATTTTTATGGTAACTTTAACCACTTAAAGGGAAACTCTTAATTAGTCGTTGTTTTGAATTTTATATTAATGTGTAATTTCTTATAGATACGTGACTACATATTATAAAATAAAGGCTAATATAATTAAAATACATTATAAGTTTTTTTGTAAGATAAAATTTATTGATAGAAAAATAATGACTTTTGCATTATAAAGGCTAACTTTAAGTAATTTAAATATAACTTTAACCAGTTTTACAATAAATTAATGTACACTCATTGTACACGACTTTGTCTTTGACAAAATAATTTAAAATCATATAAATTCAAACAAAATAATATAAAGTCTAAGTACATAAAATGTAATATATTTATTGTAAATTCAAAATTTTCTGTTCAAGTTTTCAAAAAAAAAATAAAAAAAAAATAAAGCTCGTTCAAAAAATTAAAATAAAATTGTAAATTTAAAAGAAAATTTTGTGAAAAAATATCTATTATAGTCTAGAATTTGCGAGAAACTACCTATTAAAAAAATGTTGAAATTGATTACCTAATTTTTGAAAAATGTTGTAATTTACTACCTTACGCCGGATTATGAAGGAGTTTGACCAAAATTCTCCGGCGTTGACTTGGTCACGTAACCATCACGTGACACTTAATGACCCTTTTCTTTCCCAAATTTTCTCACAATTTTCCCACATGATGGCCACCAAATGTCACGTGACCAAGTCAATGCCGAAAAATTTTGGTCAAACTTCATAATCCGGCGTAAGGTAGTAAATTACAACATTTTTCAAAAGTTAGGTAGTCAATTACAACATTTTTTTTAATAGGTAGTTTTTCGAAAATTCTAGACTATAATTGGTAGTTTTTCACAAAATTACCAATTTAAAAAAGTTCAAACAAATTAAATAATACTCTGTTTCAATTTATTGCAACATATACCTTGAATGAAAACTACAAATTATATGTTTTCATTTCTATCTATCTCTTTATGTTTCTCTCTCCTTTCACTACTCACAAACAATTTTACATGTATACATATGTGATTTTCTGAATTTTATATCAGAAATTACCTATTAAAAGCCATTTTTTGTGGAAAACTATATAATAAAATAAATGTTGTAAGAAACTACCTATTAAAATGAAAATATTGTAAAAGACTACCCTTTAATGGATTTTCACCATTGACTAAAGTTTTCGGCGTTGACCACCCACTTGCCAATCACATGACCTTTTAAAATCTTTCTTTTCCATGCCCCACCAACAATGCTACCTTCCTTATCATTACCCCAACATCGTACTATTTTGACCCACCACCATAGCACCCAATCAAGCCTCAAAACACCCCCAAAACCACCCTCATGCTGTCACGCATCCCAAAACCAACATGAGTTCTCAGGAGTCATGTGACCGAATATAAGGATGAAATTGGGATGTTGGCCTGGCACCAAATTGGGGAAATAAAAAAAAAGTTGGTTAATTTAAATCATGTGACCGGCCAAGGGTGATCAATAGGGGTAAAAGTATTTCGGATTAAAACCAAACCGAACCGAAAACCAAATCGAATTTGTAATTCAATTTGGATTTTTTTTGAATTCGAATTGGATCGGATTGAAAAAATTAAAAAATATGGATTATGGATTGGATTAGTTTAGGGTTTAAAAAAACCGAAAACCGAATTACAAACCGAATTTCGACCCAATACTTTAAGCCCATTTTCTTTTTAAAAGTATCTAACCACTTTCCCCTTTCATATATAAACTTAAAAAAAAATAACCTAATTATCAATTCTCCTTTCTCAATATCTTACTCTCTCACAAAGAATGTAGTTAACAAGAAATGGTTTTAGGAATTTTCAGGGTGAAGTTTGTGTTTCGGCTTTGAATGTTGCAAAAGAAAGGAACAAATTTCGGTTTGAATTGGACTCTAATTTGAAAAATCGAATTAATTCGGTTTGTATTGGATTGGATCGAATCTTAATTCGGTTTGGATTCAGATAGAGATTTACGAAACCAAATTAATTCGGATTAGATTTGGTTTTGGCTATAATCCAAACCGCAAACTTAACTTTCACCCCTAGTGATCAATGTCTGAGTAATTATTCAAAGACTAAAATCCGTCAATGTTCGTTTTAATAAGTAGTTTTTTACAACATTTTTATTTTAAAAGATAGTTTCTTATAACATTTAAATTGCTTTTAAAAAGTAGTTTCTGATTAAAAGTCTTCTTTTTAACATTGTTTGTCAGTTTTTTTTTTTTTTTTTTAAACCAGAATTTTACCTTGGTGAATACTAAACATAACATTGTTTCAAATAAAATGAAATTGAGGTAGTAATATAATTTCATATGATACAAATATAATTAAAAAAAAAAATCAAATGACTCAATTAAGAATAGCCTCATAGAAGAATAGTTGTACTTACGAGGTTTGCAGGAATGTCTGAACCAGATGTAATCAAATCGATAATTGTCTTCCCGTCATCATTTTTTAAGCTCAAAATCAAATCCTTCCTTTTTATTAATCGAGCCATTGAATATGTTGTAGCACGACCTGTTATATAGTCAGCACATGATTGGAGGATCAAGTATGCAAGATCAAATTCTCGATCCAAAATAGCCTTATGCAATGGTGTGTTTCCATCTTGGTCACATGAAACTATAAGAGCATCAACACCAGTTATTTCAAGGATCTTCTCACACATCCACAATGTATGGCCTTTATCGCTTGCATTAAAATCAGCCATTCTTAACCGCAAGTGGTGCAAAAAGTTCCTTCCATTCCGATCACGACATTCAATTGAATGTGTATGATTAGCTAGAATTTGATGAACAACAAGGACACGACCATACTGAGCTGCTCTCATTAGAGGGTTCATGCCTTGTAAGTCATGTTCAAATATAGCCAATGGATTTGCGTTGATCATTTCATCAATAAATTTTAGTTTGCCAACTGCATTATTGTTTTCATCATGCTCTAAGTCTTCTGGGAAGATTGCTCCTGCATACACATAAAAATTCTTACTGTGTTAATGTACTTGTTGACCCTTATGAGGTTTTGATGATGATGGTTGTGATTGAGCAAACTTCTATCTAATAAGGATTTTCTAGTGTTGTGATGTTTGCAAGTTTAGTAAACTCTGGGAGTTGAAGTAAGAATTGAAACGGAATTTAGAAGATCCAGGATGACAAGTAAAGTCGGAAGAAGAGTTCCAGAAATGGAACTTCAAGGTGTTCCCTGACAGGAACATATCAACGGGTTGTAATGACCTAGTTCCGGTGTAATGATGGGGCAAGACCTCAACAACCAAGGATCAAAGTAGAGCTCGAGATATCAACAAAAAGAGATGGACTTCATAACTTAGGTTGTATAAAAGATGGTTGTATAAAAGATAAGTTTGTTTTCTAGGTTGATGTAAACATATATTTGGTTGTTACGCATGGGACTTATTAGAAATCAGGTAAAGCTTGGCAATCTCATTAATTCGTAAAAGATAATCACAAGTTCATGAAAAAGTATTTATTTGATTTTATCTTCTAAAATATAGTTTACTCGATTTTATCTTTTTCATAAAACTTTATCTTTTGATAAAACGAATTTGACTGAAAAATAGGTTTTCTTAAAAACGAGATTAAGTTGTTTTAATTTCGGTTATTAATTGATAAGAATGGATTTCTATATGAACTTATCATTTCTCTAAAAACCCTACTTTGTGAATTGAGGAACCTCTATAAATATAGAAGTGATACAGTGAAGCAAAGTGAAAGTTTTAAGCATAAAAATCACTTAGTTCTTAAAAGTAAGTTTGCCAAAAGTTTTAGCTTTATCATTTTGATTTCGGGTTTCAAGTGTAGATTTCCAAGTGTTAGAGTGAGTCTTTGTGTTGCAATTGGTTTTGGGGTGTTTGTGGATTCTTGACAGTTCACATTTGAGTGTAGGAGTTTGAATTCTCTAAAATTCTAGTGGTAGCTGTGAGAGCACTGTGAGTAAGCTTCAGGGAGGAAGCTGAGAGTAGGCACTCTAGGAGTGCTGACTGAACCTAAGTGGGACTTAGGTTGGGTAGGATAGGTTCCTATCAGGTAGCAAGTGTCCTTGGTGGAACTTGTGACAAAGAGCTGTAATAATAGGTTGTACTAGGAGAGTTGCTGATTATAGTGGAGTTTGTTTGAAAGTCTCAAGAAGGGCCGAGGTCTTACTTCCAGTTAGGCCCTGAAAGGTTTCCTCATTTGTTGTGTTCTTTAAGTTCCATTTATGTTTTATTTTTAAATTCCGCATAAGCTTCACAATTGGAACTTACTACTATTCACCACCCCTCTGGTAGGATAGTTCATCTAACTAACAGTACTACGTACTCATTTGTATCATTTATGGTGTCTGGAAAACTGAAAGATTGATACTCTTTTTTTCAATATTTGAAGTCGTTCCATAAAAAAATTTATGTTTGGTTTGTGGTTATTGGACAGTCAATGTGTGAAACCACTTGATTCTCCAAGCTTAGACGACACATGCCACGTTAGGAGAGAAGAATAACAAACTATTGAGTTTGTTATAAAGTTTAATACAACTGCCAGTTCACCATAGCAGATTTGTGATTTCTATTTATTGTAAGAATGTACTATATAAGCTATTCTAGCATCTGTAAACATTAACAATTCACATTAATGAAATTCTTAATTCTCACCTACTTTCTCTCTCTAGATTTTCCTCTTTTTTCATTCTATTTTCATAATTTTGATATGGTATTAGAGTCGCGAATCTGTTTTGTGCAGTTCTTCGTTTGTTTCTGATCCATTCTTCGTTGATTGTAAGTATTTTAAATCGATTCCAGTTCATTTCAGCAGTATTTTCTCATTGGAAGATTGTTTGATGGATGAATAAGTTGATTTGTGGTTTTGCTTGGAGAAATTCCTGATTGAATTTTCTAGAAATCATTGTCCATATCACTACAAGAAAGCAACCCATTGCCGACGGACTTGTTCCGACGGGCACATAAATCCGTCGTAAAATTTGAAATCTCCGACGGATTTTTGTTCTGTTATATGTTTCTGACGAATTTAAAGAGTTCGTCGAAAATCCGTCATAAATTTACGACATAATTTAATTTTGTCGGTAAATTTGTACTTTCCGACGGAATATTCTGTCGGAAAGAGTTATTTTTCGACGGAAAAATATTCCGTCGGAAAGTTTTGACGGATTTTCCGACTAAATATAACTTTTTCAAAAAAAATAATAATCAAACCCTAACCCTAACCCCCTCTTATTTCCTCTTCCACTCCTTTTCTCTTTTTTCCCTCTATTCTCTTTCCTCTCTTTCTCTCTCCTATCCGCCCTTCTCTTATGTCTTCTCCTTCCTTCTTTCCTCTCTTCTTTTTCTCTCTCCTCTTCTTCTCTTTCCTTCTCCTTCTTTTCTCTTCTCTTTCCTTTTCTTTGCCCCTCTTCTATCCCCTTCTTTGTCCGCCATCACCAACTAACAACACCGGCAACGCGCATCGCCATCACCTACCTACTACCAACACCATCAATTGCACAACCACGTGAGAATCGTCATTCGCTCAAGTATTATAAATCTTGTTTTAGTTTAGATCGTAGATTATAGATCTAGATGTATTTTTTTAATAAATTTCTGATTATGGTTAATTTTTAAGTAGTTTTGATATTAATTTATAAATTTTTGAGGATAATTGTATATTTATTTGAATCCTTTTAATTTTTTTTGTTAATTTTATTTTTCTTTTTACTGAAATTCGATGTGTTCTATATACTTGTTTCGACATTGTTTTGGGTTAATTGTTGTTGTTTCGGTGGTTAACTTTAGATCTACATGTTGTGGTGGTTAATTTTTTTTTTTTTTTGGTTAATTTTATATTTGCTTATTTTTTTTTTCTTTTGGTGTGGTGAACAGTGGTAGTAGTGTGGGGTTTGGGCTGGTGGTGTTCATGGTGTGGGGTTGGGGCTGGTGGAGAGGTGCGGGCTAATGGAGGTTAAGGGGGAGGCAAGGCTGTGAGGTGGTAATGGGGTAGGTGGTGGTTGTGGAGAATATTTGAGGAGTTTTTTTTAGATTTAGTTGTTGCGGTGGAGGTGGTGGTTTTGCGGTGGGGAATATTTTTATTTTTTTTACAGGGTTTAATTTCCCAGCTTTTCTTAGCCTGAAAAACCTCTAATAATTTCCGTCGAAATAGTGTTTCTGATGGAATTTCCGTCGGAAAAGGTTGATTTTCCTACCAACACTTTTACGATGCCACTTTCCGACGAATTATGTCGGAAACACGATTACCGACGGAACTAAGGGTGTTTTCGAGGGATTTTTTCTGTCGAAAATAGCCTTAATTCTAGTAGTGTATTATGAAGTTCTTGATTGATTTTTCTAGAGATTGATTCATTTCAGTAAAAGTTTGGTAGTTTAATTGCTTTTATTTTCTAGAACAATTTGTAGAAATCGTTGAATTCTTATTAGAGAAATGACTAGAGAAACTAATCAATTTCAAGATCCTACTAAAAATTATGTTTCACCAATTATTTCATTCATCCAAATGATAGACTAAAAATGGCCTCAGTTCCTATTAAATTTTATGGTACATGATATGGAGATTTGAATAGATCGATGATGATTGGTTTATCTGCCAAAAATATACTAGATTTTATTGATGGTTCAATTGTAACACGTAGTTTAGTTGATGTTTGTTATAATGCTTAGAGAAGGTGTAACGATTTGGTGATAAGCTAGATTCTAAGTGCTTTAGACCCAGTTTTGGCTAGGAGTGTTCTTTAATTTACTACAACAAGGGAAATCGGGCAAAATCTTGAGGAAATATATGCTCAATCTTCTGAACCTCAATTGTTTGCATTGCAACATCAATTGTCTGATTTACAACAAGCTAATCAGTCCATAGTAGAATATTTCACAAAAATGAAGATGTTTTGGGATGATTTGGATGGCGAGTCCACTTCCAACTTGTACTTGTGCTGGTTGTACTTGTAATATTACTTTGGTAAAACAAAGAGAGGATCAAAGATTGATTCAGTTTTTTATGAATCTTAATGAGCATTTTACAATGACTAAAGGAAACATTTTGATGATGCAGCCATTGGTTCCTGTTAATCACGCATACATGCTTCTCATACAGAAAGAAAGGCACAAGTCAATTGTTAGTTCACTGCAGGTGTTGAGACACATGCATGCTCGTATGGCAGATACAACAAATTCTAGTGAGCCTTATGAATTTGCTGCAGACGGAAGAAATTTTGACAATAGAGGTTATAAGAATCGGAACTCTTAATATGGGAAAGGGAATTTTCAGTTCCAAGAAATAGGCAAAGGGATATTTTATAATAGAAGACCTTCTCAGTTCTTTTATGATTATTGCAAAATTCCTGGTCATACAAAGATACATGGGTATCCAAGGGATTTCAAACAAAATGTCATAAGATATGCTAATTTTGCTTAAGGAGGTAAAGCCAACTGTAATTTTGAAGATGTTGTGACAGCTTCTTTTACCATGGATCAGTATAGTAAGTTCAAACAATTCATGGAGGGCTAGAATGACCAAAAGGCTTCTAAAAGTTCAAAAGAAGAAAGCTCAGCATTTTTGGCAAGTAAACTCTACTTGTTTTTATCTTTTTCGCTCAGATTGGGTTTTAGATAATGGAGCTACGGATCATATGTGTTATTATCTCAAATATTTTACAAGCTTTGATAATGTGCCTACTGGTAATCATAGTATTAAAATTCCAAATGGAAGTGAAGTAGATGTGACTCATATAGGAACAGTTGTGTTAAAGGGTTTAACTCTTCAAAATGTTCTATATGTGCCTAGTTTCAAATATAATTTGGTTTCAATACCAAATACTACTAGAAAAGAACCCATTTCCGATGGAAAATTTTCGTCAGAAACACCCTGAAATCCGTTGAAAAGGGGGTTTTTTACGGAATTCCGTCGGAAGTGGTTGTCGGAAACGGCTTGGTAGGAAAAACCACCTTTTTCGACCGAAAATTCGTCGGA